GCGCACCTGGCAGCGCCCCGCGGCGTCGCCCCGCAGGCGGCCATGATACTGGGGCCACCGCTCCAGCTCAGCGCGACCGCCGGCGGTCAGCAGCAGCTCCTGGGTTAAGAGGGTGTGTTGGAGGGAGAGTGTGCATATGCGTGTGTGTGTGGGGGGGGGGGCGAGGTACGAATTAAGAAGGATGGAAACAGGTAATAGGGGGCGACTGGAAGGAGGGGATAAAGCGGCCGCAGGGCGGCTTCACGGCTTGGTGAGACCGGGGTGGGGGGCAAGAGTTGGCGCGCCGCTGCCCCGGCGCGGCTCGTGGGGAGGGGCGCCAGGACGGGGGCCGGACGCGCGGACCAAGGGGGGACGCTGCTCAGGGGGCGGAGGGACAGGGGCAAGGCGCTTCGCGCGAGGGGTGCCCAGCCGCCGGTGCGGAGCCCCAGCCCCCGGCAGCCGCGCGCCGCGCAGGCATGCGTCCCGCCATCGACGACGAACAGCGCGGCGTGCGCCGCGACGGAGCGCCCCTGCAGTCCGGCCGCACGCGCCTGTGTGTGCGCCGGCAGCCGCTCTGGCGGGAACAGGAAGTGGATCAGTCGGTCGGCATCTGCTGCGTGCATCGCCCCGAACAGCGCGCCTGCAAGAAGAGGGGTGGAGGGGAGGGGAGGGTTTTGGTGCGGACCACAAGTGCAACGCCGAAAGGCAGTGTGGACGCGGCATGGCGTACCAAAAGCGGCTGGGCCAGCTCCCATTCCATGTAATCAAGAACATGCACATTGGTTATCAGATAAAGGGAGTAGCGTGAACTGGATGCTGTCTGGTGATTGCTGCGACTGCCGCGAGCGACCCCTGCCCTCGGCAAGTTGCCACGTGGTCTGAGGTGCCCGTGCCCGGGGGCCGCACCCTGCGGCGACAGCAGCCGCATCAGCGCGCGCGCGTCCTCGTCACGGTGGGACTGCGGGCGCAGGCGGGCGGCGGGCAGCGCGTGGCGGCAGCGGGGGAGTTTGGGGGCGGGAGGGGGCAGGGGCGGCGTCGAGTCACCTAAACCCTAGATAAAAAATGCTTTGGTGTCAACCGCATGAACGGCGCTGTTCGGGGCGAAGAGGAGCGGCTCTCCGCTTGCGGCTGCTCCCAGCGGCCGCGGCGGCGCACTGGAAAGGGAGCCCAGCACGAGCATGCAGGGAGGGCCCGACTTCCGCCGACCCACCTTTGTGACTGTGTTGAGCCAGCTGGCCTCCACGTCGTCATATCCAAACACGCGCTTCAGCAGCACGGGAAAGCAGAACTCGAAGAAGCCGCGGAGGTTGTCCCTGGGTGCAGGGGCGGGGCGGGGGGACGGCGGAGGTGGTCCGATGGGGAGGGGTGCGGGAAGGGTCCAGAGGGGGCGCAGCTTGGTTGACAAGGGGTGTGGTGTTGAAGCAGAGGAGGAGGGGGAAGGGTGCCCACGGGGGCGTGTGGACGCAGGTCGGTCCTTGAGGGGGTGTGGCGTGGGAAGAGGGGGTGGGCAAGGGTACCCCCCGCGGCTGCGGGGCCCTGGGGGCTGCTAATGACTGAGGGCGGGCTGCGGTCGAGGACACGGCGAGCAGCCCACTCCAGCAGGGGCAGCACGCGGCGAGCCGCTGCGTATAGGTAGTGACGCTCACTTGTTGCTGGCGATGCAGTCCTCCACGGCGGCGCATGCCTTCTTGATGGAGCCCGGCTGCGCATGCGGCCCGTCGAGCTGCTTCAGCACTGCGCCAAAGCTTGCCGAGTCCCAATCCATTGCTGAGCGACCGCAGCGCGGCGCCGCTCGGCGCTGATCAACTGTGAGGTGATTGCGCTGTCTGTAGAAGCCGTGGCAGCCGCGGATGGCTTAGCAGCGCACAGCCTGCTCAGATCGACGCCGCAGCATCTGCATTACAAGGATCTATCGATGGTTCTTTGATTACCATTTATTGTGCTCGCAGGTTGCAGCTGTCGGTCCCAGAGATCGGAATTGATCTTCAAGTTTCACGCGGGGAAGTGTTCTACAAGAAGATACGGTTGGGCGAAAGATGTACCTATGACGATACTGATTAGAGTGCTCTCCCCGTCCTGACAGGCGCCGAACTACAGCGGGGCAGCCATGCTGCGACACCCGGTGGCCCATGCCAAGCACCGCATGGCACTGCCGGGCTGCGCGTGTTGGTCAACCCAACCCATGCATGCAGCCAATGACCCACGCATGCAGATTAGTTTCTCTTCATAGAACGGCTTGCTTATAGAAGCGCATGGTGCTCTCGAAGAAGGGTTTTGGCGCCAATGCTGCGCAGCTCTCCCTGAGGAGCTTGTTACCAGGTAACTGCAGCCAGCACGCAGGTAACATAAGTGTAAGAAGCATCCCTGGTCACCTTGACCTTGCCTCCTGCATCAGCAAGCTCGTAGAGCTCGTGCAGCCAAGTCGTGCAGCCAAGCAAATCAGCGGCGAGAGGGCGGCTGTCCGCCTGCTCCTCGCCTCTGTTGAGCGCCTGACAGTGTTGAACCTAGCTGCTACATTGCTTTCGGTGAAAGCGAAGTCAAGTGCCCCGTGTAGCGAAATGCAGCAGAGCAATGGTCCATTGCCTGGGGCGCTGACAAGCGAAGGTCCATGTATGTCCCCAGCCGCAGCAGGCACAACACACACGGCCAGGGCGGCCGAAAACTCAGCCGAACGTTCATTACTCTGTTGTTACGGCAGCTGCAAGCAGTGCGTCGAGCTTCAAGCATTTGCGAAAGGAGGGCTGCCGCAGGGTGCGGAAAAGGCGCCACGCATCGGCTGTGCGTGGCAGCACGCAGCAGGCTACCCCCGGCGACCGGCACAGGCGTCGTAATGTGGCCGGATTGCTGTCATGCCAATTTGCATGGTTGTGATTTGCAGTTTGCAGTGTATCATCAAAGGCAGAGGGGTGAAACGACGCTGCAAGGAAGACGGCAGACAGACTCACACAAGTTTCACGCATTTGACGGTTGCCGCCTCAGTCTACGATGCACTTAGTCATGCCGCGCCCCAGACACCCTGTCCATCCACGCGGCCACAACGTCCACCGCCCCGGCCGCGCACGCGCGCCGCAGCCGCGGGTACTCCATCCCCAGGAACCGCCGGCACCCGGCCGCGCCCTCGGTCGCTGCCTGCACGCCGCCGCACACCGCGTCAAGGCGCGCCGGCGTCAGGCCCAGCGCCTCGGCCGCGCGCTCGACCTCTGAGAACGCTTTGAAGGCGGCGTCTTGCACGTCGGCGTCGCCAGAGCAGGCCGGCGGCACCTCGATCTGCCGCAACCCCAGCCCCACCAGCCG